GAATGCCGAACGCCGGCGTAGCTGATGGTGTGCCGAACGCCGGAGAAGACGACGGAGTGCCGAACGCCGGCGTCGAAGACGGAGTGCCGAACATTGGTCGTAAAGAGAGAGAGAGAGAGAGAGAGAGAGAGAGAGAATTCAAGGGTTTAAGGAGAATACATTTGAAAAATGAAGAAGCTGAAAGTGTTCGACGAAATTCTAACCCTTAGGGCTTTTATTATAACAACACAGCACCCTTTTTATATTTCCTTTCATAGAACATGTTCCAGTTGAAGCCTTGAGACAATGAAGTCCAGACTTAAAACACAAAGAAGATTTATGTTACAAAGACCGACAACTCACAGATCTCTCGAGTTTGGTCGATTCTTCAAACAAACTGTAAATAATAAAAAAAAAAAAGCTCCCTTTCAAGAACGTGAAACCGAAACAGAGGTCTCACATTTTCGGATCTGACAAGAAATAAAAACGAGTAAAAAAACCCGGAGATGAGTTTCTCAGACAGTGATTGTCACACTGCAGACACATGAACCAAATGGTTTGATCTGAGAAGTTTTCCACTCGGCGGCGGGATCGGCATTCGGGTCATACAGCAAGGTGTTGTGACTGTTTTCTTCCCGAGATGGAAACAGCAGAAGCTTGCCGCCCAGCTTCCCGAACTGAAACCCGGCCCTCGAGCTTCCCGAAAGCGGAATATCCACCTCGTCCCATGACTCGTCCTCGGGATTAAACACTACCATCTTCCTCTGGTTCTTCCACTGAATACAGAAAAGCTTCTCTCCCATTTCAGCATGAGCAGTAACCATCTGTAGCGGATGATTCATATGGCAAAAGCAAAGCAACAGAATCAATGATTTTGTATAATTTTGGCCAACTGAACACAAAAACCCAAAAATTATCTTGATTTCCTTGTGAATATCCAAAACAAATATCAAGATCACGATGTCTGACTTACAGTTAAACCGTTCTTGCTTTCTCGCCAGGATCCGAGTTCAGGGTTGTAGATATCGACAAGCTTCGAGTTACCGATTGTGAAGTTTGATCTTCCACCCATGACGTAGAACTTCCCATTAAACCCAAATGCGAAACAGCCCCACCTGGGACGTCGTAGGGAATCTATGACAGTCCATTTGCCGGTTTGTGGATCATAAACCTCGGCACTCGATAGACTGTTCCCCTCTATGCCGTGACCTCCCGCAACATAAACGAGGCCGTTCACCTCAGCACAGGCAAAGCCATAGCGGGCTACGTTTAGTTCCGGGAGTTTGCTCCAGCTTAAACAATATCACAAAGAACAACACATTGCATAACTCAGTACTAAAATTTTAGCGATAACTCGCAGTAAAATCGCTCTAGCCAATAAATCTTTGTATAGAGTTCCGAAAGAAGATATAAAGGATGCCGGAATGGAGGGTATATGGGCGACATACTTGTTCAGACAGGAATCGTACTGATAAACATCGGCCGATGCAACACGAGCACCGTCTGTCACTGAGACACCAGCTAGGACAAGAAGCCTTCCGTTAAGGACAACGACCCCAAAACCAGATTTTGCGGGACCAGGCATCGGAGGAAGAAATGAGCGCTTATGTCCCGACGAGTCCATAACCTCCCAGTTGCTTTCTTTCCCCTCGCAGTCCATTGTCAAGACATAGAGCCATTCCTCAAGTACTCCAGCTAATTTCCGCACAGTAATGAACTCTTTGCTTTGCATAAAGAACCTCCACTTCTTAGAGACACTTCCCATGGACGGGAAGTCGGCTCGTGGAACAAGCGTGAGACAGAGTTTCGCTACGTCATCAGGCAGTCCAGGAATCAAAGGGTTGTCTCGAAAATCATCAGACAACCAGGAAGCGAAACCCAGACTGGTCCTTTTCTTCCCACTTACAAGACAATGCATCTTCAAAGAATTTCTCGTATGGCCAAAGAATCTTCAGGTAATTTATTGTATCTCCAAAGAATGACTAACTAATGTTTCGGAAGATGAGAAGAAACTATTAAAGGAACTCGTGAAACCCGTCGCCTATGGGGATTTTCAAAGACCAAGGAATAAAAGACGTCGAAGAACAGATTACTGTCGCAGTCGCTACTAGTGAATTCTGATGCTCGGTCCAGTCCAATTCATATTCCATACCAAAAGCTTTGCTCCTAAAGTAGTTGCGTTCTTCAATCCCTCTGAAATTAGAACCAGTTCCTCTCGCACACATCTCCGACTCTACAAACGCAAGGACGGATTTTTCGAACAAAGAATCTATTGCAGTTAGAGGGAGAGTGTTGAATATTACAGAACATAACAGGCTTGCACATGTAAAGAAACTCATGAAGAAAAAGAAACATACCACCAGCGAAGGCCATGCCAAGCTTCAAGGTTTAGCCTCCAGTCACATCCATGTTTCGAACTAATGAGCTTCTGAAAATTTTCAGACAGAAGCAGCCATCATAAGTCAAACCCTTTCAACAGAATCAAGAACCACGATCGAGAAAAGACGATTCTAGATACGAAATGTCAACAGAAACCAGACAATTTCACAACAGATTCCAGACAATTTCGCATGCTATCCAACATTTGTTCATAACACTTTGAAACCAGACCACAGAACTGAAGTAGTTCCCAGAATCTCCAGACCTCAAGATCCGAACAGAAGTCTAAGAAAGCATGAGAATTTATTTACCCAAATCAAATAATCATGGAATTCAAATCATCAGGACAAAAAAAATAGGTAAAAAAAACCCAGAAAGAAGTGAGATAACCCCAGAAAATTAAAAGCAGATTACAAATAGAATGTAAGAAATGGACAATGGAAGTAACTTGCGAAGGCACAGACCTTAACGGTATGATCCATTTCACTTTGGAAGAGAACCAGAAAGATAATTTCGGGAAACACGATCCAAATGTCTGCCGATTTAAACGATTTCGTGCGAAAATGGGGGTAACAATTTAAAGACATAACAGATAAAATTATCCAGAAAGAGAGAAAATCCCTTACCAAAAAGATAGGATCTTCGTTTTCGAGCAGAGAAGATAATAATACTACAGAGAGACAGAGAGATCCGACGATGAACTTATCAAGGCGAGAAATTAGGGTTTATATAGGAAATTTCAAAAAAAAAAAAAAACAGAAGGGAAGGAGATAATAACGTGAACTCGTCACCACGTCACTCGTACTCGTAATGCTCCCGAGATAATTTTGAATAATTTTTGGTTAATTTTTTCCACATAATTCTATTTTTTTTTCTAAATCGTGGAAACATTTTTCATAAAAAAAAGTAATAACAACAATAATAATGGAAAAACAGCAAAAACTAAAAAGCATGGTTAGAAAATAGACCAAAGAGTGGTTACATTTAGGGTTGGGCGTTTCGGTTCGGTTCTTCGGAATCGGATCGAACCGAACCGAAAAATTCCGAACGGTACTATGTTTAGAGAACTGAATTTTTCCAAAACTGAACCGAACCTAACCGAACTTTAAAAATTCCGAAAAACCGAATATTTTTAAAGAAAATCTATCTTTTTTTAATAAAATCCGGAACCGAACCGAATCCAATATAAAAACCGATCGGTACTTATTTTTATAAAACCGAAAGAACCGAATCGATTAATTCTCGTCCCGAATCCGAACCGTTTTCCGAAATGTCCACTTACATTGTCTATCAGTGTATCAGGGAGCACGTGCAATCGCTTCTCTCATCGGAAATATGGGTCCCACATGCACGTGCAATCCAATCGCAATCTCTGGACCATTTTCGACGCCAAAAGTTTTTTTTTTTCTCTCTCTTAATTATCAACCAGATTTTTTTTGTTGACGCATTTTTAAAATAAAATTAACCGGAAACTAAACAGGATAAAGATCCGAAACATTCAACTTCTAATGATGTGAATAATCTAATGTTTTAATCGTCATTTAATAATGAAACTGTAATTTAAATAAGTAAAGATTGGGTCCAAGCGCATACCGGTTCGACTATGAACAAGTCTAAGACACGTCACTTGGAAAAAAGAAAAAAATAGCCCTATCCAAAAAAAAACCTTAACCTTATCCATTAATTTTTTGTTATATTTTATAATTTTCAAATATCTCCCTCATATATCCTTTTTTTTTGTTTTTATAAATAGTAAACGCTGAGAAAAAAATAATATGTCACCGTAAAAAAATTGGTTGATCTGATTTAAAAGGCTAAGTAAACCAGTGTTTAAAAATTAATTAGATAGTTAATTTTCTTCCCATAAATAAATAACATAATAACGAAAGGATCTTATTTAACTCCAAAGCGGCGACCCGAAAGCGATCGAATGGCATTCTAATAGTTCAATGCATTTCCGTGATGTGACATTAACGTACGGACATCTTTGACGGTCCTCATTTGTTTCGAATTCCCTATATTTTTAATTTATTATTAAAATCTAATAATATTATAAACCCCAATTCGTCCATTATAATAATAATCTGGGTGGACGGTTCCATTTAGTTCTTCGGAATCAAACCGTATTAAACCGAAAATCTCGATATTTTTTTTAATTTGTACCCCTCAAATTTTTTTAACGGAACCGATTTTTCGAAACCGAATCTAATAAAACTGAATCAAATTTTATAAAATTCCAAAAAATCGATTTTTTTAAGAAAATCTATTTTTTTTAACAAAAACTGAAACCGAATCGTATCGAATATTATACGGTACTAATTTGGTAAAAATTTTAGAATACCAAATAAATCATACCAAAACCAAACCATTAAAATTCTGAGTCGAATTTCGAAACACCCACCCATAATAATAATATATTTGTGTTGGATTGATGGGAAGAAGATATAATTGTTTTTTTTAAGCAGTAGACTTTCCGTACCATTTTTTTTATTTATAAACATTTTTATTTTATGTATATTGATTAATTAACTATAACAATTAGACTCTCGGTAGGTACATTTGCTTGTACAAATGTTTCTCTTGCATCATTGCATTATCTTCAACCAGCATTTCGTTGAAGTTTCCCCACAACACACACGCACACATATATATATTAGAAACGTATATTACATATGTATGAACGTATACATACATCCATGTATACATGTATGACAAAATGATAGGGTGGGGGAATGGTACAAAGACGAGAGCCATAAAGTTGGGTACTTTAGCCCATCACTAGTTGTCATGTATGTGTCATAAGATGAACCATATGGCCAATGGACCGTAAGATAATGAAATAAAGTATAATTTTTTTTTTAAATTTTTAATAAAGTTCAAACTGATAATGATGGATATTGACTACCCAACAAAATAATTAAATCACCAAATATTCACAAATCCCCAACTCTCAACGTTTTCATTATCCCAAAGGGTAATTTTACATACCAACCATTTGTTCATATTTGGGCCTTTCAATTGTTACCCATTGTCCATTGACCATCCCAAAGGCCCAATTTACGGAAATCCAAAATGCGTCAAATACATGCATCCAATTCTAGATTCGCTAGAAATTTACCAAAAGACGGTACATATATAATTAGTTTTTCAATATATTATTTAGATTATTTAGTTTTATACAAATCATAATAATTTTACGTTTCCCATGATTTTTTCCGTGCCGGATCCATCCCACTAACAAAAACAGTTCAAATCGACGATAGGACAGAGAACGAGTTCGGCAACTCGGTTCGGCGACTCGGTCCCGACAGGCCCAGTCTAAAACACGACCGAAACTGGTCGATAATGTTGCACAAAGTACTGATGAAGCAAGTGTGTCTTGAACACATCAAACTAAAGAAGAGCAGTCACAGAAAATCCAAAACCATCCATTTATGTCTTCAGACAAATGATCTATGGAATTCTTTTTTTTTGGAAAAAAAGAAAAAATCTCTTAAAAGAAACAAGAGATAGTTGGAGAACAAAACAGGAGATGGATAGCTCAAGACGATGTTGCCGATTTCTTCGACTTGGTTGCCAGCTGAGTCTCAGGCTGCAAAATACCAGAAACCTTTACCATGTCAGATTCCAAATTAAAAATAAAACACAATCCAGGAATCATATCCGTTGGTTCGAATTCGATCAAGTTCGTTTACCTCTTTCTTCACTGGCTCCTCTTTCTCCGATAAGACCAACTCGATGTGGCAAGGGGAAGACATGTAAGCTGCACAAATCCGAAACAATTTTCATTAACAAGAGACCGACAAATTGCCCGATGTGGAAAAACCAAGGTTAAGTTTGTTTCAGGCTACTCACGATTGATCCTTCCGTGAGCACGGTAGGTTCTACGCCTCTGTTTCCTTGCCTGATTCACCTGGATGTGCGAAATGTGAAGGGCATCCACATCCAAACCCTTAACCTGAAAATACAACAGATAGTATAGGTTTCCCGGGTGAGTACACAGAATAATGTAAGAACCGTAAACCCGAGACAATGTAAATACAATGGATGGTGTAGGTTTCTTACGTGAAAAACCCTAAACCCTATATCATACAAATATTAGATGAAACAGTTTTAGAATGAGATAACCCATTATTCTTGAGCAAATCAAGGATGAACTTGGCAGATTTGGCTGGCCAACGACCTTGACCATTGGAATGCCTGTTCTTAGCCTGGGCAGTACGGCCAACACCACGGCAGAAGCGCGTGAAAGGGATCGCCTGCTTGTGAGCGATAACATCTTCCAAATACCTCTTGGCCTTAATCAATGGGAGCTTCCTAATGGCATGTGCAGTTTCCCTTGTGTTCTGCCGTTACATAACAAAACAAAAATGAGAGTTCATTATGAAAAATGTAAACATACAAATCGCAGGCATGCACCGTGAAAATTAAAAAATAAACAATTCGAGAATGTGACATCATTTACTGAACCTCTAGTCACTAATTCTATAGAGGTTCACCCAATAACAATGCCAATGATTTCCCTGAAGTTTACGAGAACCATATTCACAAGTGAGAACAAAGCCCTGCTTTTTTTCATCAGGTTCAAATCAATAAGACCCAGACAACAATCAAGAGTTTAATCCAAACTAACGACCACCTAATGCAGACAACATATTTTGCAACCACAATCTACTCATTTTCAGATAAAGTATGAATATGACACAACACAAGTTGAAATGTACCATCATGTACTGAACCTTCAGCTACAAAATCAAGACATGAGGTTCACCCAATCACGATGACCCATTCGATTTCCCTGGCATTTACGAGAGACCTGTTCATAGTATGTGTAACAGAACCCTGCTTTTTATATATCAGGTTTTCCTAAATACTTCATTTTCCTAAGAATCTGATTGCTACGATGAATCAGAAAGCAGAGAAGATAAAGCATTTTGCAAACACAATCTACTCATTTTCAGACAAAGTATGGATATGACACAACACACAGGTTGAAATGTACCATCATGTACTGAACCTTCAGCTACAAAATCAAGACAGAGGTTCACCCAATCACGATGACCCATTCGATTTCCCTGACATTTACGAGAGACCTGTTCATAGTATGTGTAACAGAACCCTGCTTTTTATATATCAGGTTTTCCTAAATGCACATCCAAAAAACATTTCATGTTCCTAAGACTCTGACGGGGAAGCGATGAAGATGCATATCAGAATCAGATGACGAGAAATACCTTGAAGTGGACCCTGAGATCGGCTCCCCTCGCCTTGCAAGCTGTAAAAATGTACAAAAAATGAGGCAAAAAAATCAGATAAATCAGCAAACAAGCATAGCGTAAAAACCTAATCCAAAGACATTCAAACGCGTAAAAGAGAATGAAAAATCAGATCGAGAAACGCGAAGAGACATTACACTTGGTAGGATTGTCGGGTTCTTTAGAGTACTTCACCTGCGAAGAAAACAAAGAGAACACAACAACAACACAGATTAGGAAACAGATCAAACAAAACAGAACTGAACCAGTGACGAAGTGAACTTGAAACGGGCGTCGTATCGAAGAGAAGAAGAACAGTACCATGGCGGCCAACCTCTGCTCTCACTGCCGGGGGAATGAGAAGATGATGGAGAGGATTTATACAGAAGAAGAGGTTACGCGGAGAAACCCTAGTTCTTTTTTTTTTTTTTTTTTTTACTTGTGAGGGCAGCTTCAAAACGGGCTTGAATTTTAATGTCCAAATTATAATGGGCCATATCCATATAATTGGCCCATTATCATCTTGATGTCCAGATGAACTTAAATTCCGCAGTATGTAAGGAGAATATGACGTATCTACATATAATGATGGTAAGACTGATTTCATTGATATATGGAAAATTTTACATCAATATTCTCAATTGAGGGTGAATATTTTCGATATAAAAACTGAACGGTTGTGATTTCTCTAAACCCACAAAAACCAAAATCGAACCAAATCGAACCGATTAAAAAAATAAACGGAAAAACAGACAATTTCTTAAAAAAAATGAGTTTTTTACAACAAAAAAACGAATTTAAAACGTTATATAAAAATCGAATGGTTAAAATTTTCTATAATCGAAATAACCGAACATGAATACAACCGAACCGAATCCGAAATGGTCACCCTATTCTCAATCCATATCGTGAAAGTCTTCCAAATAATAAACTCTGAAGCCGTTAAAATTAACAAATTTAAAATAAAATCAAGATCTATTAAAAAAATTCTACAATAAATAATCTCTCCTAAATTTGAATTTTGTAATTCTACTTCATACGTTTATAGAACTGAAAAGAAAGATCTATAATCTTACACTTGCAATAACAGAATTTCGGACAAGCATGAATAGTTTGATGATGCTCAGAAGACATAGGTTGAGAGGAAGCTGGAATAAGAAACAACGTCGGCCCATTCAGGGAAAAGACCCTTCAATGTTTGTGTCCGTTCATCAAGAACCTGATCAAGAACTGCCACCTCCACTCTTAGTTCTTCCTCACCAATCGCCTGCAACTTTCAATACATTCATATTTAAGAAATGTAAACAATCTTTACATTGAATTTCAGAGCCTTTTTTTACATGAATACGCTTTTTTTAACGCGGATTTTTGGATATTCTATCTAGATCTCGATCTCGCGGGTTTTCTAGATGCACTATATCAGTCTCAAGCTCACGAGACTTGGGTACCCGCGTAACCGAGACCAAGGTACTCAAATCCTTGAAAATTTACGAAATTACATTGACTTGTATAGTTAGTTTTATATGAAAATAGGTCTAGTTGTTTTTGTAAATAAATACCTAAAAAAATTAGGATTATTTCAATTATTTTCCAAATATCTGGTACCGCGTGAGATAACCCGTCAAGAAATAATAGAGCTTGAACCCAAACCCGGCTTTTGGATTTCTTCCTGAATATCTGAATCAGAATACCCGAAAAGCCCACGGGTCTCGGGTAAAAATGACCACCCAATGTTACCAATATGGAAACATTACCTCTAGCCAGAACTCCCACTTCTCAGTGCTATTTCCACTGAGTCTCAATATATATGATGGCGGACCGCCTTCTGGGACTTCAGGAGCTGCAAAATCATCAGTTCAGTTATTGTAATGACTCCTTCCATTGTTTCGAGGAAAACCCATATGGCAGAAAGAGAAAGAGACTTTCTCCTCGACCTGGAGGTTTGCCGTCTGCGAACGACCATCCTGATAACGGCCCTGTGATGTTCATAACCGTGACCCAGATTTCCTCCAACGAGCTGGGACGGAAGACGAAATAAGGAAGTGATTGATACAGAAAACAAAACGGTCCCAGACAAGAAGAACTCACCCTAGGGAAAGTTCCAGATGAATCCTTCGAGATCCCTTTTCATATGTTGTTTGAGGTTTATAACTAGATAAACACGGGAAATGGCTGTATCGTCTTTGGACCGCGTCTGCTTTAGCGGGGAACCTTGCATTTCTCGTTACTACCGACGAGATGGGGAAAAGTGCCTGTGAGTGGCAAAGAACCGTTTACTCAGAAACATACATCTTGTTAACACAAGATTATATGGATAAAGGAGGAGGAAGAAGAAGACAACGACATACCAACCAAGCCTCTTCAGGAGAGGCATCTGCCTTGGCCAAAGAAAAACCGGCATCAACATCTAATTCTTTCGCCAGTTTCGGTGCATGCTTAAATACAAACTCCATAGAATTAGAATCAACAACTGCAACATCATAACTCGTGTCCACGATTTCATTTCCACCTGCATATTAAGGCGTGCGAATGCTACTTCACGTGGTGATGAAAGAATACTGACACAGAGAACAGTTGCAAAAATCATAAATGTGTCGGGTCATGTCATGGGCAAGCAAAATCTCCTTAACTACTACTACTACTACTACTACTACCTGTCGTGATGAATGTATGTTGGAGCACAACTCTCTTAGGTGCATCCTTGCTGTAAGGAAAGAACTGTGAGGATATTGCCAAGGTAACCACTGTTAAGTGCAGAAAGAATTTCAAGATAGATGATTTTGCGAGCCAACGATCGCAAATAGGAAGAATTGGGCCAAAGCACCAGCCGGTGACGACTCCTACAACTGCAGCTACAAGTACATCTGCAAGGTAAAATCCTGCCAGCAAAAAAATCTGGTAGTATAAGCATCCTATGCAAAGAAAGAGTGCAATCCCGAAATATAAATATATATTGTTTTCATCTAAGATGTGAATGGGAAAACAGGTGTATCAGGAAACGAAATTGACCGGGTTAAACTAGAGTGACTTTTAAACGGCAAGACAGTCAATTGAACCATAAAATACTCTGGAAACAACTACAAAATCAAAATACTAACCATAAGGTGGTGGAACAGCTCCCATCATTCCTGTCTTCTCAATCAAAAATTGTGCCAGTAGACCACCAAAATAGACAGAGTACAAAAGGCAGGGAACAAGAGGTATCACATAAAACATGGTAGACCTGGATGAGATTAACTTTATCATCCAACAATTCAATGAAACTTAAGCAGAAGTTGTTCAGAGATTCTAGCTGAAAACATGAAGAAGCAAATCGAGAATGGAGATTCTGATATCTATATTCGAAGGAGAATTGCAGGTTAAATCAATCCAATGTTCAGCACAAGTTGAAGAGCGTAGGCATAATTTTTCAAATGAAAGCTCGACAAAATGCCTGAAATTTTACCTGAGTGATTCACGACCATAGGACTTGTCAGATAAGCATAAACAAATCCATGCGAATAGCATACAAACGCAATTGAAAAAAGTCAAGAATCCCCCACTTAGCCCCGCCAGAATATATGCCTGAAAATATTCTCCAGTTGAATCATGACTGACCAAATAATGCAAGAATGACTAATTTTATCAAATATACCGATATACCAAAGTCAGAATCGCATAGAACCCAAATGCACCCCAAAACCTTGCTTCATCAGAATGACCCTACAAGATCAACACTTAGTGACATATTCACAGTAAAAAAGAGAAAAACAAATGAGATGGGAAAATGAGAAAAAAGGACTTACCACTTTCATTGTCTTCTTAGATGAAACAGTTTTAGAATGAGATAACCCATTGAAGAGAGTTTTTGGAACTAAAAGACCAAAAAGTGAGCATGGGATGAACATGAAGAATGCCAAATATGAATGAGCGAACCTGCACTTTCCACAGAATATTAGTTAGTCCCTTGCCGACCAGCAAAATATTAAATCAAAAGTTACAAAACCTTTACTTTGCATTAGATAGGTGGAAAAAATGTGAGTGGAAAGATATCTTGTTACCAGCTCATCGGATAAGTGAAGAATAGTCTGATGATTGAAAACAGAACAGGGAATATGATGCCGAGGAAAATTCCAGCAGCATGGTGCATAACTCCTGACAAGCAATAACAAATGTCGCCAAAGATTTCAGATTAACAAATGGAGAAGGCACAAAAACTTACAATTCCGACAAAGTAGATCACGAAAACAAGAGGATGAAGAAGTCTCTACCATTCAAGAAAGCCCAGAAGGTTGCCAGCCGAGGCTGCAGTCCAGGTTCCGGCACATACGAGAAAAAAGGAGCAAGAAGGAACAAAACAAATGGAATGCTGTGAAGTACCAAGGCCACTCTTCTTGGATAGTACACCTAGTTAATTTACAATCAAAATTAATGATATCAGCTCATCAAATAATTTTATTACATTGTCAAAGTTTACGAGAAATGTCCAAACAGCCCACCATGAACAGTGTTAGGTAATCAAAGAAAACAGCTCTTTCATCCGTGTATTTGTTGGTATCCACCGCAAGGGACCTTCTTTCGCCAGCATTTTTTAGCTTAGAAGAATTGGTAAAGGCTTTAAGCACACTGACCAAGTTCTCCCCACGTGCTTGCATGCTTCCCGGTCTGAATTAAAGATGTTCCATCAAACTAGAGAAGTACTTAACTTAAGAATAAACATATAGAACAAAACATCTTTCAACACTAATCTTATACCAAAATGCATACAATAGTCTGTCCACTGTATCAAAGGAAGTATGGTAATAGTAACCGCCGAGAAGAAAAATAATGTCTAGCCCAGGAATGTCACCATAATCTTTGGCAAACATTCTGTAATCAGTATCTCCGGGAATTACTGGGAAAACATCCTGGTGAAAGACCAACAGACGATTGTGAGTCAGCAACAGAGGTTCAGTGAAAATAACAAGCTCGGTTAGAGTTTTATGACCTATAAATTATCAGTGAACCTACTAGCATTTCAGAAAACAAGCCTTGAATTAAGAGAGAGAGAGAGAGAGAGAGAGAGAGAGAGAATGTCTCTGTAGGTCAGATAGAGAGAGACCTGTGCAGCACTATGTGCCATTGGATAGACTGCAGCTTGAGAGTAGATAAGGGACGGCCATGAGCCAGGTCCTGATTGGCAGACCAGATCTGCAGATGACATATAAAGGGCAATTAGCACAAGAGAAAAGAGCAGCCCAGTGTACAAAGCATCCCTACTGAACGGGGGTCCGGCAAAGGGTCCAATTAGCACAAGAAATTGTTTTCAAAAATAGACATTTACCACTTCGAATCAAACAAGTACCACCATCAATAAGCCCAACATATATTCATTTCAACTGCCTTAAATGAGCAAGGACATAAAGTAAGAATATGCATTCCGTTTCTAGAGTCAATGACGTTGCCATTGAAATGTATCGTCAGCAAAAGTTGATGAAAATTCTTGGCACAGTCTTTATTTATGCGGCTATGCCTCATCAATCAAAGAAAGAAATGTGCAGATCTAACATCACCCATAAAAGGATCATCGTCAGGTAGAGGGCGTTTAGAATTAACTGAGCCTAGTCATCATAATGAGACCTATATTAACAGATGGAAGGTATTCCAAACATGAGGAAGAATAAAGCATTGTCTTACCGGGACCCCCAGTTCCTGATGCTTCCACGTCTATAAATGCTCCAATCGAGTCCCTCAGCTTGTGCTTCATCATGAAGCCATGTGAAGCCTATACAAGAAACATAAAGCCACATCACAATGTAAAAGTCAGAACTCAGTTTCATCAGACATGACTAAAACTAACAGCTCATGCCTCCTATGCTCTAATATAACAAAAGCATTTCATGCCAACTGCCAAATAAAACATTCCATGCAAAAGGGTACCAAGCTTCATAACTACAAAGGCAGCACTATCCATCAATATTAAGTGCTTGAAACCAAAAGTATAAATATTACCAGCATAAAAAGTTCTTCAGCGCCATTAAAGAGGAAAAGAATAGGTCGAGGTGGGACCCATCCAGAGTCTATTATAAGCCTTGCTAATTCAAGCAGTGATGCTGCAAATGCAGAATTCAGATAATATCATTTATAGGTTCAAAGAAGAAAAGCCATATCCAAGATTTACCGAACTCACCTACGCATGAACCACAATCACCAGCTCCAGGGGAGCCAAGAGGACTATCATAATGTGCATTCATCAATACTGATGTGTCGGTGTCACGAGACTGCAATGAGGATATTCTGCAATGGCATATATAAGCGAAAGAAAGTTAAAATCTTTAGATGCAGTGGAATCATTAAATGTGTTCTTAACAAAAACCTCTACAATGATTCTCCAATATAGGATTGAAAACTTCAGAAGCAGGATGGATGATAAACGAGAAATCTTGAACACACAACTTTGATTCTCTGAAACTTAGAAATGGTAATGACTAACTTTGAAGTTTAAAAGATATAAATTTCAAGGTCCACCAACATTTACCTCATTAATACATTTGTATGGTTTCGGTAACCCAATGATATACTATGGCCCAAAAACATCATGCTGAAGGATCCATCCACCTGAGTCTCTTCCACTTCAACCCTACACAAATGCTTCTTCTTATCATTCTCAAAACCATTCTGATAATGATTGAAAACGAACATGGACCATCAGAACAATGAGCAACTGGTAAAACCCAATTCATCTAAGAGGAAAAAGAAGCTGTGAAAATTGAAAAAGTTCGGTATTTGATTAATATTTTACACTGTACGAATCTGTTCGAAGTGTTGGATTTAGTCGTCGAAGACCCACTAACCTAACCTTGTCCACATGATGTAACACAATTTCATGATTCTACTTTGTATTTGTAATCAAGAGACAGAAAAAGCAGAAAAGAGTCGCAATTTCCATAAAGAGCAAAAAGGCGTACCTTAGATTAGGCCCAGCTCTCTCCTTCATCATCTCCAGCTGCGATCTAATGTATGTCGCAGCTTCTCTGAGGCCCGATCTCCCTTCCTACATAACAATCCCGTAAAACGATTCAATCACAGACGCGATCGATTTCGTCTTAGGAGCGAGAAAGAGAGAGAGATGGATTTTCACTCACCTGACGACCGCCGATTTCCTCGGCCAAGACGCGGACGTGATCGAAGGCTCTGGCCTCGGAGAAGCGATCGAGAGGGGCGTCGGCGGGAAGCGGAGAGATGAACTTCATGTGGACGACGCAGTAAACGAGAGCCGCCATTAGAGCGTACATGAACGCCAGCGAGAACAGGAACTTGAAACCTGTGGCGTCTCCAGGTCTCAGCCTCAACAACAACGCCATTAACGCCCAGAATCAATCTCTCTCTCTCTCCCTCGGTGATTGATTCGCACATAAACTGAGCAAGTCTGGCCGTACGTATATATATAGGCACACAGAAATGGGATCGTGGCGGAATGAGACGGGGCGTAGTTGTTGGGCGGAGAGCGTTGAGCGTCTTTCGGAGTGGCACCGCCAGAGCGGAGATACCAAAATTATTGGGTCCCAAAGTGTTTTTTTTCTTTTTCTTTTTATCTTTTTGTTTTTTTTGTCTTGTCCCAATTATTTTCTTAGGCTAATTTTTATTATGAGTTTTTTACTTTAATTTTTAGTTTTTGATTTTTGATTTCTGTAAATCCAAAAAATAGAGTTTTTTAATTTTTAGTTTAATATCCCAATTATTTTCTTAATTATAATGTTCCCACATCAATATTTTGATATTGAAAAATAAGCACAAACAGTGAAACATAAATAATACTGGTGTTATTTATAGTAATCAGCAAAGATGGACTAATTACCTTTTTAATAAAATAATAAATCAAAATTGGATATTATGTATTTTATGTTATTTGAGACATAAGAATATTTGAAATAAAAAGGGATAATCGTATAAAAATAACCGAACTTTTACAAAAATTCCAAATAAATATCTGAATTATAAAATTGTCATATAAATACCTGAACTTTTCAAATATTCCACATAAATACCAGACTTTTAAATTTTTTTCCAAATCAAACACGTATATGTTAATGTCGTTAAACACAACTATTGACTCAGTAAAAAAACTGATGATTCAACAAAAAAAATTGTTGACTCAGCAAAAAACCTACTGACTCAGGAAAAAAAATATTATTAAATATTCAAATATTTATCTACATATATTTAAATTAATATATACATATAAATTCATATATATATTAAAAATAAAATTATTTATAATTAATAAAACACATATACACATAACTATAATATATATATATACACATAATTATTTACATATCATTTTTTTTGAGTAACCGCATAAAAATACCCGAATATTTTTACAAAAATTCTAAATAAATACCCGAACTATAAAATTGTCATATAAATACCTGAACTTTTTACAACTTTTATATAAATACCCAGACTTTTAAATTTTTTTCAAATCAAACACGCGTTCGTTAACGTCGTTAAATGCAAATGCTGACTCAACAAAAAACTGCTGACTTAGCAAAAAAATATTATTAAATATCTAAATATTCATCTAGATGTATTTAAATTTATATTAAATTCTTATTTAAAATGTGTAACATTGCAAATTCGGGAAACGTCTGATATTTTTTGAAGAAGACACGAAGTTCATCATAGTCCATCGCATTTCCTCGATTCTTTCACTCACAAACACACCTCTGATGTGTTTTTTTTTTTTTTTGACAAAAAAAATCGGGAAACGTCGAATATTACATTTTTATAGTTATTAAAAAAACAGCTATTTATTGGTACCGGTTACAACAGTTGATAGATGATGATGAATTCGTCGCACATGCATGCATGTGTCGTGAGGGTGAATGCATAGACATGGGCCATGGCCATTGGTGTCGAATCACGTATCTATTCTATTAAACCGGATATAGCTTGAATACCCTTATAGTGTCTACTATTCAAAAAAGTAATTTTTTTTAAAAAAAAGATAGAACAAGTAAAAGACATATGTATCCTTATATTTTAAATGGAAAGACCATGGTAACCCATGTTTCATCCATATGTAAATTGAATATATTCCTATTAAAATAAATTCCAACATATTAAAGATAGTAACTTCTTTTAAAAAAAACTATAAAATAAATAGATTTAGTGGGTAAATAAATACTAATAGGAGTGGAGGTTAGAATAAAAGGTAACGTTCCCAAAATAACTACAATTATATCGATTGAACAGTTTAAATCTAGAGTAAATAATATTTATTTTTGAAAAACGAAAATAGTCAAGACTTTAACATCGATTAGTAGCAGCCGCTGGCGAATCATTTGGCCAAATTCAATTATTTCGTCATTGAACATGCGACCTTTAATCACATTAATGTCTAATAATTTAATAATAAAATAAGCAGCATAACGTTAGCCGCTCACCTCCAACATCAGACCGTCTTTGCTTCATTATAAAATCCTCTTTGTTCATGCCCTCTTATTTTACTAAAAAATATTATTCATATATGAAAGAAACTCTTGCACAAACAATTTTTCCATTTTTTTAAACTATAGCTTCATTTGGATTTGATACTCTTCCTCCTATCAAATGTTTTCTGATCTGCGAGTTGGTCGACTAATGCAATGAGTAATTGGTCCATTATTAAGGTTTTGGAAAGCTCTAAATGTCAAAAAATGTGGTTAGCTCATAAGTTTCGATTTTCTACTCATCGACGAAAAGGTATACCGAACATCATGTACCATTTTTGACATTTTATTTGTTTATTGTGATCACAAAAGTCATTGTTTAATTTACTAAAAATATTCTTATCTCAGTGTTTTTTTTCATCTATAGTCTACCGTTATTCAAGGATCAATAAGCCGGCAACATTTGAGTGACTACAAAGATATATTACGTGAATGAGCTATTTATGTTCTGACCGATTTTGACGTTGTTAGGTCTAACGAACTATTCAAACTAACTGATTTCACGTTAGCTATTCGCTTTTATGTGACTATCTTTCTTTTTTTGTATTTTCTAAAATTATGTATTGACCGATAGTAATCTTTTGGTTTTTTTTTTAACTCTTAGATGTTATTGGCCGAGTTCGAAGTATCAAAGATACTAACAACAAATATTCGTTGTCCAAACAAAGAATTGTGTTAGATCTACAAATGGCAAGGTATATATATATTTACATGGTTGTATCTTCCAATATTATAATACTCTTCGAACACATGTTATATTGTATGTGGAATTTTTATTTTTTCCTTACGTTATGTTTCATTGTTCTTGTAGTGCCAAAGACATTCGAGTCATTGTATGAGATACGAAAGCTGATTATCTTCATGTGAAATTGGAGAAAACAACTATTCAACCAATTGTGATTTTAGTGACTAATATAAATCCAAAATTGGTCGGAGGTAATATTTATAAACTCCTAAGTTTAACGCATTTTCCCCTATCATGATGTTATTCATTTTTAGTTGCCGGAATTATGCATTATTAGTAAATGTCTATACCCAATAAGCATTAACAACATCACCAACATTATTAGTATTATTTTTAGGAATGATTACTATTACTATTACTATATGTTGATCTTTTAGTGTTTGTTAACATTACGGGGTTTCACGATACGAAGTTGAAAATTGAAAACCTACTAGCCATAAATAATATACATAGCCCCTTTTATAAACCTCAGTAAATTAAGTATTCTTTAACGATTTTCTCTCTTCAAAATTATTGTTATTTGTTTTATTTGGATTTATATTATTAAATCGTATTGAATAAACAAATATGCTTTTATACTTTGTGTTTTATTGATCAAAATGTTTTTTCGACATTTGTGATTTTCTGATCCATTAAGCATCAACAACAGAGTCAACATTATTAGTATTTTTGTGATTAGTTTTATGATTATTATTACGAGTGAATATGTCATGGGGTTGTGGTATGGTATGGTTATATATTTTGGATCTTTCCTACGGTGACAATATATATCATAGGTATGTGTTTTTCACAAAATTAATTTTAATCGTTTTTCCACTTTAATCATGTTAGGTAAAGAAATGAACTTTTGTGTAATTTGTTTATTCCGGTAATGCAATATAAGAGGCAAACCTTTATCCGGTTTGGGGTATTGATTTTTTATGTTTCAAATTACCATCATTTTCATGTATTTGTAAAAAACTAATCCATGATTATGACTTCGGTTAATCATACACATGATAAATTTAGAGTTTTTAACGCTTACGAGAAATCAATAAAAGTCTAATAAATCTTTTTCATTCTTATAGGAGCATTATATCTCAATACAACATCAGCTTCGAGGTTTTTCTTTGATGACGAGTCCGATGTAAGCCAAAAATTTATCAGCATGTATATCTCTTAAATTATTTATTTGTTATCATTGTTCAATATATTATGAAAGTATTTCATAATATTTTTACACAGGTTTAAAGACAACATCGATGAAGCACTAAAGATCGAGGAACCCGTCCATACGATAATGAAGATGGAAACAGTTTCTATAGCAGAAATATGTGGATTCATAACGATGTCAAAAAGTCAGGTATACTAATCTACATTGAATTAAAACATATTAGATTTTATACAGCTTATAAAACTCTAATTTTAATAATCTAAATGCACAATTCATTCTAAAAAAGTAACCATCTTCTTAACCAATTATAGGAAGCAGATTTTTTATGCAAAGCTACGATTACTGAAGTTATGACTAAAAATGATTGTACCTACCACTACAAGAAATATCAGAATTTGCGACAGACAAATCTATCGCAAATACAAAAGAATATCCGTCGCAATTACAAATTTGCGACAAATTGCGACAGAATCATTTATGTCCGTATATCGTTGTCGCAAAAGTTTGTCGGTCGTTAATCTGTCGCAAAGTTGCGACGGATAAAATCCTCATTTTGCGACAGAATTGCGACAGAAAAATCCGTCGCAAATACATTTTTTTAATATTTTTTTTTAAAAAAAAAATATGCATTTACTACGGATTTACGACAAAAAAATTCGTCGCAAATATTTTTTTAATTTTAAAAAAATATAAAAAATAATATATTATGCATATACACACATATACGTATATTCACATACACGTATATGCATACATTACACATATACACATAAATTTTTATATATATATACACATACACATACACATATACATTTACATATATACATATATATACATACATATACACATACACACATACATAAACACACATTCATACACATATATATACACATATAAATTTATATACCCATACATAAACATACATATATATACACATATATATACATTACACACATACATAAACACACAATCATACATATTACACATATACACATACACACACACACATATATATATATATATTCACATACACATCACATAAACACACATACACATTTATATATATACATACACATTCACATTCACATATATACACAATACACATACATAAACACACACACATGCACATTCACATACACATATACATACACACATACACACTTACACATACACATACACATATACATATTCACATTCACATATATATACATAACACATATATACACATACAT